TTGCTCCGGCGGCCACAGGTAAGCCACACCATAAACAGGTATTGTCCTGGCCTACGGGAGCGACAGGCCATACGTACCCACACACTCTCACACGGACACATCAGCGTGCCATCAGTAGCGACCACCCACTGGGCTTTGTCACACCGCCTGGGTATGATGTGTGTGGGTAGTGTGTGTGTGTGTGTGTGTATGTAGGTATATGGTGAATGACTGAATGAATATCTGACCAACCTAACCTAAACCTAACCAAGATCCGCAACCACATCCAAGGCATCACTCTTAGCTCCCTCTACCCAGCACTTTTCAAGGCTCACCATCAAGTAATTACGTCTTAGGAACCACAGGTTTTGTATCTTAAAATTAGCATATTTCTTGTAAATTATAGTCATGCGGTGTTTGTAAGGCATTTTGAGGTGGCATTAAGTTCTGTATATTACTGAAGGTACTAACATTCACTTACTACTACTACTACTACTAATCGTAGTAATTAATAATAATAATAATAATAATAATAATAATAATAATAATAATAATAAGATAAATTGAAATTCCATCTTCAGTTCAAGGACTTTTGCGTGGACTACCTTGGGTTGGGTTGTCAAGACGGGGCAACAAATATGCAAATTACCAGCGTCACGAACGTCCCGGGTCCTCCAAGGTCCGTGGCATGAAGACGTCTCGAAGGAAAAAGACGGATCTAACGCACTAGTGTACACTACGTCAGAAAAAAAATCGTCTTAATAATACCTTTAAGACGTTTACTTAGGGATTAGTCAAGGAATAAATTTAACTAGCAGAATCATTGTACATTTTTAAGTCTGGTTATCAAGGAACATATCACCAGACAAGACCTGACGCCGATGGTATCACGCAAATTAATCAATTAAGGCTTTAACTGGTTTTTATCATTAGTCTCACTGAAGAAGGTTTCGTCTTTTTTTAGCTGGTCAAGACATGAGTAATTTCTGGCCGCGTATAAGATTTGATCACGTGGCGCCTCACCAAATTTTTGTTTACTAATTGGCAACTCACGTCACAAAAATGGCGGGAATTGAAATTTTATCCCAACATTACGTCAAAACATAAATAATACAATTTTAGCTTCTTAAAACACAACGCGAGAATATTAATAACGTTGATTATGATCCACATCGGTAGAAAAATATATTAAATTCTATCAATGAGAGACGGTAAATCAACTTCCGTTTCTCTCTCAAATTAAGGAAGGGATTAAATGCGACGCCTGTCTGTCTATTTCTGGGCCACGTCACAGCCACATACACACTGTTTGTTTACCTGTAATTCTAGACGTTAATGAATAAACAGCCGGTGCAGGAGAACGACGGAGTTCCCGCTTGAAGAAATAACTCACCAGCAATCAAAGGGGAAGTTCCGCCCACCCACAAGTTGGTCAATGTTAAAGGAGAGTACCACGAACACGACCACGAAACAGTGAATCTTGGAGGAGACAGAAACCAACTTAACCAAACCAAACAAATGTAACCTAACCTAACCAAACCAATGTAACCTAAACTAACCTGAGCTAACCTTCACCTCTAAGAACATCTATAACCCTCCAACACCCATAAGAACTTTAACAACCCCTCCAAGAACTCCACAACTCCCTCCAACACCCCCAAGAACCTCTATAACCCTTCCAACACCACCAAGAACCTCTATAACCCCTCCAACACCTCCAAGAACCTCTAAAATTCCTCAAACACCCCAAAAATTCTACAACCCCACCAACACCCCCAAGGACCTCTAGAACCCCCCAAAACCTCCAAGAACCTCGGAAACACCTCTACAACCCCTCCAACACCTCCAATAACCTCTACAACCCCTCCAACACCCCCAAGATCTTTTACAACCCTCCATCACCCCCAAGAACCTCTACAACCCCTCCAACAGCCTCAAGAACCTCTACAACCCCTCCAACAGCCTCAAGAATCTCTACAACCCCTCCAACAGCCTCAAGAACCTCTACAACCCCTTCAGCAACTACAAGAACCTCTACAACACCTTCAACATCCTCAAAACCTTTACAACCCCTCCAAGAACATCTACAACCCCTCCAAAAACCACTACAACACCTCCAAGAACCTTTACAACCCTCCAACACCCCTAGAACCTGTACAACCCCTCCAACATCCCCAAGAACATCTAAAACCCCTCCAACACTCCTAAGAGCTTCTAAAACCCCTCCAACACCTCCAAGAACCTTTACAACCTCGTCACCAACTACAAGAACCTCTACAACACCTCCAACACCCTCAAGAACCTTTACAACCCCTCCAACACCTCCAAGAACCTCTACAACCCCTCCAACACCACCTAGAACCTGTACAACCCCCCAACACCCCTAGAACCTGTACAACCCCTCCAACATCCCTAGAACCTGTACAACCGCTCCAACACCCCCTAGAACCTGTACAACCCCTCCAACACCTCCAAGAACCTCTACAACCCCTCCAACACCACCTAGAACCTGTACAACCCTCCAACACCCTCAAGAACCTTTACAACCCCTCCAACACCTCCAAGAACCTCTACAACCCCTCCAACACCACCTAGAACCTGTACAACCCCTCCAACACCCCTAGAACCTGTACAACCCCTCCAACATCCCCTAGAACCTGTACAACGCTCCAACACCCCTAGAACCTGTACAACCCTGCAACACCCCTAGAACCTGTACAACCCTCCAACATCCCCAAGAATCTCTACAACCCCTACAAAAGCATCTACAACCCCGCCAACACTCCTAAGAGCTTCTAAAACCCCTCCAACACCTCCAAGAACCTCTACAACCTCTTCACCAACTACAAGAACCTCTACAACACCTCCAACACCCTCAAGAACCTCTACAACACCTCCAACACCTCCAAGAACCTCTACAACCCTCCAACACCACCTAGAACCTGTACAACCCCTCCAACACCCCTAACCTGTACAACCCTCCAACACCCCTAGAACCTGTACAACCCCTCCAACACCCCCAAAGCATCTACAACCCCGCCAACACTCCTAAGAGCTTCTAAAAACCTCCAACACCTCCAAGAACCTCTACAATCCCTCCAACACCCAAGAACCTCTAATCCTCCAATACCCCAAGAACCTCTACAACCCCTCCAACACCCCAAAAACATCTGCAACCCCTCCAACACCCCTAGAACATTTACAACCCCCTCAACACCCCAAGAACTTCTACAACCCCTCCAAAACCTCTACAACCTCTTCTACACCTCCAAGAACCTTTACCCCTCCAACACCCCAAGAACCTCTACAACCCCTCCAACACCCCCAAGAACATCTACCCTCCAACACCCTAGAACATTTAAAACCCCCTCCAACACCCGAAGAACCTCTACAACCCCTCCAACACCTCCAAGAACATCTACAACCCCGCCAATACCCCCAAGAACCTGTACAACCCCTAAAATAACTCCAAGAACTTCTAAAACCCCGCAACACCTACAAGAACGTCTACAACCCCTCCAACACCTCCAAGAACCTCTACAAACCCTCCAGTGCCTCCAAGAACCTCTACAACCTCTCCAATACCTCCAAGAACTTTGTTATGCAGCCGGGTAGTCGGGACGGTTGAGATATATTTGTTTTGGCCAGTAATTATGACGTGCCGACGGTCACCACCTCAGGGGAGGGAGGCGGGGAGGCATCATGGGGAGAGAGGGAGTGAGGGGAAGAGATCGAGTGCGGGAGGGATAGAGGGAATCGTGGAGAGAGAGAGAGAGAGAGAGAGAGAGAGAGAGAGAGAGAGAGAGAGAGAGAGAGAGAGAGAGAGAGAGAGAGAGCGGTGACGTCATTACAAACCTCATGATGTTTGAGAATAACCATCAACATGGCATGATAATCAGGACCTGAACTCTCAAACACACGTAAGTTAATGTACCTCACTTAACTGTAGATACGATCAATATTATAAATGGTTCTCTTAATCGACGACATCATTATCGTCCCCTATAACTTGTGATGAGGCCTCGTTTATCTCGTTCATTTAAGCTACGCCACAAAAATGAACTCTCAAATCTTCATTAATTAACCGTTAACCTCTAACTGGCGCTGTGATAATGTTTCTAACTTCCCCATGTAAGTTAGGATACAAACATGATGGAGAAAGTTTACCAAGACTCTGTGGTTAAGGTGATCCTCTCCTGTAGCTGGGGGATCACTGAGGAGGAGGAGAGGGGGAAGGAGGGAGGGATAGAGGGAAGGATGGGAGAGGAAAGGAGGAGGAGGAGAGGAGAAGGAGGAGGAGGAGGAGGAGAGGGGGAAGGAGGGAGGAAAGAAAAGTAGGAAGATATATATATATATATATATATATATATATATATATATATATATATATATATATATATATATATATATATATATATATATATATATATATATACGTATATATATTGATGTTGAAACAGTTTATTTAGCCAGAAGAACACAGATACAGAGTCGATTAAAGATCAAAAAATTAACATGGCTGAGCCAGTTGAAAGCCTGAGCTCTCTTGTAGTTATATACTGTACATTTATATCAAGGAAGTATTATGTAACATTTACTATCATTTACACATAGCATGGTGGTAATAAGAACATATCAGAATGTTACTACGGATATTTCTTCGAAGGAAGAGAGAGGAGGAGGAGAGTGGAGGCGGACAGACAGACAGGATCGAAAACTATACCCTGACTTGTAGTTGTGAAGCAGGACAACAATAATGACTCCAAGACCGGCACTTACCTTATTTGTGCCTCAGGCGGATGTAAGGTCCAGTGTACAGGGGTTAGGGGTGGTGGTGGGTGCTTGGGGAGAGGAAGGGGAAGTTGGTAGCAATGAGGAAGGGGAGGAAGTAGGTAGTTTAGGGGATTCCCCTTGTCTGGGGGGATGGGGTGAGGCTAGGTGACATTGGTAAGGACAAAGGTGGCGTAGGGGAGGAGGAGAAAAGGGAAGACTTCACCTATGGGAGGAGGAGCAGTACTCACCTTGCCGAAGGTTCTGGCGTAGGTCCCCGTCAGGAGAGAGTGGAAGATAATAATGGTCTCGTCAAGGTCCCAGATGTACACTCGTTCCACCTTGTTCTCCGGATCGGGTGACGGGTTACTGCGACGCGCCCGACCGTTCCTCGACCTTGACGCTGTAAGGACAACCCTGGCGTTAGTTAAGGCAACCCTGACGAAGAAGAAGATGAAGAAGAAGAAAAAGAAGAAGAAGAAGAAGAAGAAGAAGAAGAAGAAGAAGAAGAAGAAGAAGAAGAAGAAGAAGAAGTAATAAAACCAAACCAGAGAAGAAAGGAATAAGATAAAGAAGAATAGGAAAATGAACATGGAGGAAAAAATGTTTGTCCTAACCAATTAGTAGTGAAGACCCAGGTAGTGCTTACACAGGTGGGATTTTTTTCTACTATCTACAGGTCAATCACATTACCTGAGCTGGGCGGGGGATTATGCAACAAAGCGGATTACTCCAATGTATGGGAAAACACGGAAGGGATCTTACGTATGCGTTCATCCGGATGGGCTTAGATACGTTAAAATATGTTTAAGTGAATAAACTAACTCATAAATGATACTTAATAAAATACAACATAATCTAAAAAAAAATACAGTAAAGTCTTATAGCTATTTAAAAAATCTTGATTAATTAGGAAATCAAATAAAAAACTAAATTCTTACTCGAGAAAATAAATAAACGCAAAAACCCATTGAACTGTAAGAGAAACACACGACTTGTAAACCCTTTTAAAGAGGATCCAACCCTCTATGGACGGTAGCTGGAACACCTATAAGTCTAGAACTCAACCCTCTCTTGTCTTCCAGCAAACTTTGAACCTCTTATGGGTCTTCTTTGTAATCAAGTCTAAACCCGCGGAAGAGAAGAAGTAAAAAAATAAAAACTTCACGAGATGAATCCGTTCACAAACCCCATAACTGAATTAAGCTTAAACAGTTGGTATTGAGTTTAGGACGCCTTTCACATCCAAGAAGCCATAGTGTGTGTAAATGTATCTGCTTTAATATTCAGTCCACAGGAAATTGGAACACAACCGACCTGACGGGAAATTGCGCGGGAAAACATTGAAACCCTGATAGGTGAGATGAAAAATTCTTTATAATAAATAACTTAATTGAAGTTGTAGTGAATTACTAACGTGTTGTAGTTAATGAGGTGTTGTAGTGATCTTCTTAGAGAGGAAGGAAGCCCGGGGTTATAAAAATGAATATGGAAGATTAACTGAAGAAGGGGTCCACATAGGATTATGGTGAAGAGGTGAGGAGAGGGGAAGGGAGGTGAGCAGAGAGAGAGAGAGAGAGAGAGTGTATCAAGTAAAATAAAAAAAACAATTAGGAGAAGTAATAATAATAATAATAATAATAATAATAATAATAATAATAATAATAATAATAATAATAATAATAATAAAATAAAAATTATAGGAAATTCTTAGTCTGATGGAAAACAATTACATAAACCGATATTCAAAACCACGGATTAAATACTTATCTCATTAATCTACAAAATTAATAACAAAACTTATCCCCCCATAAAAAATATTAATATTTCAAATTAATCTTTAAATTGGGGAAAATTAATAGTGAATATTACTAAACCAAGACAATGTTTCCTAACTTTCAGTGACTTAGGTACATTCTACAACAAAACCCACACACAATGACGTTACAGAGTATTGGAACTGACCTGTGTCTTTCATCGGGGACGAAGGGCTGTCAACACCCTGAAAGCCTGTCGTATCTGTTTTGGGGACAAGAAAAACAAAAGTTAATCTAGCGACAATCAGAAATATATCCAGTTCTCCATTTAGGAAAGACAAGACAGCATTAACCTTATATGTGACGTCATAAAAAGATTTAGTATGAGCAAGACGAGGGGCTGGGAAGCAAGCGACACTTACTCTCCAGGGGTAATGTGAGCTGGTAGGTGGTGGCGGTGGGCGTGGTCGGTGCCGCCGTCGGGAGGCCAGAGGAGAGGCCATTGGAGGCAGCGGCAGCGGCGGCGGAGGAGGTGGAGGAAGCGCTAGAGGAGCCCATGTATCCCGCGTAACCCTGGCCATAGTAGTAACTGCCTGCCGCGGCCGCCTGACCCGCGTACGCCGCCGCTGAGTAGTAAGCTGAGTCCAGTCCCTGCTGTGGGTAGGGGGCTGATGTGAGCTGCTGAAGGTTTGGTTAACTCTATGATTATTACTAAAAGCTAGACGGACACACACACACACATCCAGTTCTCCCCTCTCTCTCTCTCTTTCACGTACATTTGTCTATCCCTCATATACATCCAGTCTCTCTCACACACAGTCTCTGCCTCTAACCTGTTGTGTGGAGGTGTAGTTCTGTGTGTTGCCGGTGGCGAAGGAGGCGTTGTATGAGGTGCCATAGTACGGGTTCTGACACGCTTGAGTCCCACTACTACTGCCGAAGGATCCGTAGGGCGCCAAATACGAGGCCGTAGCTGATCCTAGGGAGCTCGCCGTACCCAAGGACCCCGTGGAGCCTAGACATGAGGAACCTAGGGCACTGGAGCCTAGGGTACCCTTACTACTCTGGTTAAGACCTCGTGTCGTACCTGGGAAGAGATGGTAAGACGGAAGAGACTTGATATTAAATTCCGGGTTAGGTTATGATAGACATTTGCTTTTAATTAACTTGTTTGTAACTCGGATCTAAACAGAACCCCAAGATAACTCAAATGGAACTCAAGGTAAGTCAAACTGAATCAAAACAAAGAACCCACGTAAACCCAGTCCCATATATAACCCAAACAGAACCCAAATTGAACCCAAAACTGACCAGAATGTAAACGAGATGAAACCCATATTATATGAACCTAGACGGAACCAAACTGAACCAAAGTATAGCCACATGAACCCTTATAAACACAAAAATACACCCAAAATAAATCTGTATAAAACCTGAATGAACCCAAATGAACCCTCAAAGCCTGTACCTTATGCTAGACTAAAACAACGACTTTCTCTACAAGGCGTAACTCACTCAAGGAGGTACAACAAAGGGGGTAACTCACTGGGAGGTACAACAAAGGGAGTAACTCACTGATAGGTACAACAAAGGGGGTAACTCACTGATAGGTACAACAAAGGGGGTAACTCACTGGGAGGTACAACAAGGGGGTAACTCACTGGGAGGTACAACGAAGGGGGTAACTCACTGGGAGGTACAACGAAGGGGGTAACTCACTGGGAGGTACAACAAAGGGGGTAACTCACTGATAGGCACAACAAAGGGGTAACTCACTGATAGGTACAACAAAGGGGTAACTCACTGATAGGCACAAAGGAGAACTCACTGATAGGCACAACAAAGGGGGTAACTCACTGATGGGTACAACAAGTAACTCAGAGGCTAAAAGGGGTAACTCACTGATAGGTACAACAAAAGTTGCACTCACTGATAGATACAACAAAGGGGTAACTCACTGATAGGTACAACAAAGAGGGTAACTCACTGATAGGTACACCAAAGGGGTAACTCACTGATAGGTACAACAAAGGGGGTAACTCACTGATAGGTACAAAGGGGTAACCACTGATAGGTACAACAAAGGGGTAACTCACTGATAGGTACAACAAAGGGGTGACTCACTGAGGTACAAAGAAGGGGTAACTCACTGATAGGTACAACAAAGGGGTAACTCACTGATAGGACAACAAAGGGGTAAACTCAGTGATAGGTACAACAAAAGGGGTAACTCACTGGGAGAGTACAACAAAGGGGTAACTCACGGATAGGGTACAACAAGGGGTAACTCACTGATAGGTACAACAAAGGAAGGTAACTCACTGGAGGCCAACATAGGTAATCACTGATAGGTACAACAAAGGGGGTCACTGATAGGTACAAAAAGGGTAACTCACTGATAGGTACAACAAAGGAAACTCACTGGGAGGTAAACAAAGGGGGTAACCTACCTGGAGGTACAACAAAGTAACTCACTGATACGTACAAACAAAGGGTAACTCACTGATAGGTACAACAAAAGGGGTAACTCACTGATAGGTACAACAAAGGGGTGACTCACTGGGAGGTACAACAAAGGGTAACTCACGGATAGGTACAACAGGGGTAACTCACTGATAGGTACAACAAAGGAGGTAACTCACTGGGAGGTACCAAAGGGTAACTCACTGATAGGTACAACAAAAAGGTGTTCACTGATAGATGTACAACAAAGGGTAACTCACTGATAGGTACTAAATAAAGGAGGTAACTCACTGAGGTACAACAAAGTGTAACTCACTGGGAGGTACAACAAAGGTAACTCACTGATAGGTACAACAAAGGGGGTAATACTGATAGGTACGGTACAACATAACTCACTGATATAGGTACAACAAAGGGGTGACTCACTGGGAGGTACAAAGAAGGGGTAACTCACGGATAGGTACAACAAAGGTAACTCACTGAGGCACCGAAGGTAACTCACTGGAGAGGTACAACGAAGTAACTCACTGGGAGGTCACAACAAAGGTAACTCACTGGGAGGGTACAAACAAAGGGGTAACTCACTGAGGTACAACAAAGAGGGTAACTCACTGGGAGGTACAACAAAGGGGGTAACTTATTGGAGGTACACAGAAGGGGTAACTCACTGTGAGGTACAACAAAGGGGGTAACTTATTGGAGTACACAACGAAGGTGAACTCACTGGGAGGTACAACGAAGGTGTAACTCATTGGGAGGTAACAACGAAGGGTAACTCACTGGGAGGTACAACAAAGGGGGAGTAACTATTGGGAGGTACCAAACGAAGGGGGTAACTCACTGAGTGCAGAAAGAAGGGGTAACTCACTGGGAGGTACAACGAAGGGGTAACTCACTGGAGGTACAACAAAGGTAACTCACTCAGATAATCTGTGCCATAGAGTAAGAGTTGGGCATGGTATTGTAAAACCCACTTGGCTGCATGTACACGAGTTCCCGCCATATGCCTGCATTGTGCTGTGAGGGAGAGA